TTCAGCAAGAACCAATGAGGTTCATTCTAGTGTTACGCAACACGTTTGAGCTTCTGTAAGAACCAATGAGGTTCATTCTCGTGTTACGCAGCACGTTTGAGCTTCAGCAAGAACCAATGAGGTTCATTCTCGTGTTACGCAGCACGTTTGAGCTTCAGCAAGAACCAATGAGGTTCATTCTCGTGTTACGCAGCACGTTTGAGCTTCTGCAAGAACCAATGAGGTTCATTCTCGTGTTACGCAGCACGTTTGAGCTTCTGCAAGAACCAATGAGGTTCATTCTCGTGTTACGCAGCACGTTTGAGCTTCTGCAAGAACCAAAGAACCAATGAGGTTCATTCTCGTGTTACGCAGCACGTTTGAGCTTCTGCAAGAACCAATGAGGTTCATTCTTGTGTTACGCAGCACGTTTGAGCTTCAGCAAGAACCAATGAGGTTCATTCTCGTGTTACGCAGCACGTTTGAGCTTCTGCAAGAACCAATGAGGTTCATTCTTGTGTTACGCAGCACGTTTGAGCTTCTGCAAGAACCAATGAGGTTCATTCTCGTGTTACGCAGCACGTTTGAGCTTCTGCAAGAACCAATGAGGTTCATTCTCGTGTTACGCAACACGTTTGAGCTTCAGCAAGAACCAATGAGGATCATTCTTGTGTTACGCAACACATTTGAGCTTCAGCAAGAACCAATGAGGTTCATTCTCGTGTTACGCAACACGTTTGAGCTTCTGTATGAACCAATGAGGTTCATTCTCGTGTTACGCAGCACGTTTGAGCTTCTGCAAGAACCAATGAGGTTCATTCTCGTGTTACGCAGCACGTTTGAGCTTCAGCAAGAACCAATGAGGTTCATTCTCGTGTTACGCAGCACGTTTGAGCTTCTGCAAGAACCAATGAGGTTCATTCTCGTGTTACGCAGCACGTTTGAGCTTCTGCAAGAACCAATGAGGTTCATTCTTGTGTTACGCAGCACGTTTGAGCTTCTGCAAGAACCAAAGAACCAATGAGGTTCATTCTCGTGTTACGCAGCACGTTTGAGCTTCTGCAAGAACCAATGAGGTTCATTCTTGTGTTACGCAGCACGTTTGAGCTTCTGCAAGAACCAATGAGGTTCATTCTCGTGTTACGCAGCACGTTTGAGCTTCTGCAAGAACCAATGAGGTTCATTCTAGTGTTACGCAACACGTTTGAGCTTCAGCAAGAACCAATAAGGTTCATTCTAGTGTTACGCAACACGTTTGAGCTTCAGCAAGAACCAATGAGGTTCATTCTTGTGTTACGGAGCACGTTTGAGCTTCAGCAAGAACCAATGAGGTTCATTCTAGTGTTATGCAACACGTTTGAGCTTCAGCAAGAACCAATGAGGTTCATTCTAGTGTTACGCAACACGTTTGAGCTTCTGTAAGAACCAATGAGGTTCATTCTCGTGTTACGCAGCACGTTTGAGCTTCTGCAAGAACCAATGAGGTTCATTCTCGTGTTACGCAGCACGTTTGAGCTTCTGCAAGAACCAATGAGGTTCATTCTCGTGTTACGCAGCACGTTTGAGCTTCAGCAAGAACCAATGAGGTTCATTCTCGTGTTACGCAGCACGTTTGAACTTCTGCAAGAACCAATGAGGTTCATTCTCGTGTTACGCAGCACGTTTGAGCTTCTGTAAGAACCAATGAGGTTCATTTTTGTGTAACGCAGAACGTTTGAACTTCTGCAAGAACCAATGAGGTTCATTCTCGTGTTACGCAGCACGTTTGAGCTTCTGCAAGAACCAATGAGGTTCATTTTTGTGTAACGCAGAACGTTTGAACTTCTGCAAGAACCAATGAGGTTCATTCTCGTGTTAAGCAGCACGTTTGAGCTTCTGCAAGAACCAATGAGGTTCATTCTCGTGTTAAGCAGCACGTTTGAGCTTCTGCAAGAACCAATGAGGTTCATTCTCGTGTTACGCAGCACGTTTGAGCTTCCACAACGACCAATGAGGTTCATTCTCGTGTTACGCAGACTCATCATACAGCTGTATGTTCTATATGACATTTCAAATCTATCCAGGTCTCAAAATTTATATATCTAAAAATGGAAGCCTTAGGGTAAAGTGTGCCAGTAAAGTGTAAAGTGTGGGTCGTCTAATAGTGATAGCGAGTTTCGCTTCCAAATGCCGGACTATTACAAATATTCTAACCAAAGTTGTTTCACAGTCAAATACTCTGTTCTATTAAGTGCAATATACAATAGAACATAAAATAGCAAATAATGTGCACCAAAAAGAAGACATGAAATGGATTACTAAACTTAATTTAGAATTATTTATTTGCTTAATTAATTCCCCAATTGCTCAATTTCCCCACTAATATGACACAGCTTACCTCTAACATGGCCAAGTCATATTTCTAAGGCCTTATGGTTTAGATACTTGCACAGTGGCACAACTTACCCCATTATGCCCTGATTTTTAGTTATTTATTTATCAGTAGATCCATTACCTGGGAATCAACCTTGGCATTGCTAACGCCAACAGTAAAGATAATAAACATTGTGGATACATTATCTTACCAAGAATCAGGAATGGAGAAGATGCCACAGTGATAACAAATGGCACATTCATGAGCAACAGCAGCCCGAAGCTGGACAGCACTGCTTGTGCGGTGGAAAAAACTCCAAGAGAAGCCACCCACACTTTATTCCTCACATTGTCAAACCTGTTGAGTAAAATGAAACAATAGCTTTTTTTCCAATCAGACTTTCAAAAATATATTCATGAAATAAAATACATTGGGTACGACACAAACCTCAGGCAAGATATTATTGAAAATGAGATGGCAAGAAAGTAAGTAATTGCAAAAAGTTCAGTGACAGATAGAGTACTCTTCTCAAACTCCTGCTGTCTTGACATGGAGGTGAAATAGGAGATCTGTGAAGAAAAAATTATCATTAGAATAATATTTCATTTAAGTCAAGTCACCTTTATTTATATAGCACTTTATACAATACAGATTGTATCTGCTTTACAATGATAACAGCAAAAAGAGTTCAGTGTTGATTTAGTTTCCTTGTATAGATCATCAATCATTAAATTAGTTCATTTAAAGCAGTTCTGCAAAAAATATGACTGTCATTTTAGATTTTACCCATTAATCATTCATAAAGCCTGTTTGATTATTTAATGGGTGTGGTCTGAATTGAATTTATTGGAAAATGTATTGAAAAAAGACTCCAAATATGGACCACAAAAACATTTAACATACTTACTTCTGTTACAGAGGTCGTTACATTCGAGAGCAAGTCTATCAACTCTTGGAGCCAGGCATCTCCCAGTGTATTATTGCTCTCTTTCAGGTAATAGAAAAGTCTCAATGCTTTGGCACTTCGAACAACTCCATTGTGATCCACCTCCACTTTACTGATGACATTTCCCATGTGGAGACATTTGAATTCTGACGGACAGTACTCAGGAAACGTTATGTTGACGAAATGAATGTAGCTGGCATTATAGTGTAGAACATCAAGCATTACATTAGAGTTGCATATTCCATTCACAGTTGCGCAAATATCCGAGAACACAAACGTCTGTGCGTCGTGCGTTGCGGTGATTCCTCTAACTTGTCCATCGATGCGAATGACCTCCTCTAGTGCGGCAACACTGAGTACGTTTGTCTGACAGGAGAATATCAAAGATGCAAAAACCCCGTCAGTGTTTAATCGTATAATTGAAAACTGCGAGTTAATTTGTCGAAAAGTTTCTTGAAAGAAACGCCTCTCCGCTTTGGCGCGGCCGTTTTTCGGAGTAAACTGCTCGACTATGTCGTTAGATTTCAGGTCGTCCAGAAAGTAAAATCCTCCTCCGAGACCTGCGGACACCACCAGTGGCAAAGTGACAAACCACCACGGGTGAAGCCCTACGAACTTACCGAAACTTTCGAAACACATTCGTATGGGCTTTTCAATGCAGTCTGTGATGTAGGACACCATGATTTCTGAAGAGGTCACCTGCACATCTGGTGTTAAGGAGATACTGGAACACACATATATGCCTAACATCAAAAGAGCAGGTCATGTTTCTCCAGGGAACAGTACATGTAAGAACACAGTGTTCTCTTCAGGCTTTGCCTTTTGTTGTCTTGATAACTATTTCCACTAGAATGACCTCTCAAACCTCTAATCAGTAGCCTATGTTGAGCTTCTTCTGAAAGACAATTTTCTGAAGCAGTGATCCAGGTATTCCTCCTGTAAATGTGGAGCAATTTGCTCCCTGTGAAACAATGGACCTCTGAAGTAGCTGACAATGAAAATGGGAGATCTTCTAAGAGAAATTGCATCTTGAGAATGAGAAATTGTACTCTTAAAAATAGAGGTCCTTTGTTGGTTTCAATAAACCTCAGTACTTGGGTATCTTTTAGGACCTACACTAGGTCCTAAATATAAAGTCTCCAAAAGTGCATTTTTACTCAACAGATGTTTCCTTCATCCCAATTATAAGCAATATATAAACAGCATATATGGTTAATATGTTCTCTTTACCTTTGTTAGAACACATTTAAGAATTAATGGCAGAGGGTAAAATGTGCGGGAATGTGAGAGCTATGTGAGCGATATTAAATTTCCAGCATAGTACTGGATCTGTAGGCTATCTGGACTTAAGTATGAAATTGTGAAAAAAAAAACAAAAAAAAAAAACAAAAAACAAACTTTATAATGGGGTGCACCATAGTCTATTTTAAAGTCTATGCATGTTGTGCAATAGCCTACTTTTTTGTTTACCTGTTATAGAGGATTTGGGATTTATTTTGTCAGTGAATTCCTCATGATTTATTCCACTCATATCTCTCTCATATATATATATATATATATATATATATATATATATATATATATATATATATATATATAGCACCATTTATGACAACAAAACTGAAAGTAGCCCAGCCCTAGTTAGTGTACTCAGTAAAATGTTATTTCAACAGTTTTGCTTGGACTTCTTACGTAACATCAAACTCGATCCCCGTGACGTCACTCCTCAGTCGGAAGTTCCAGCGCACCAGTAACAGTGAACGCGTCGCAAGTTAAACCAGGTTTAGTGTAAACAGCCACAACATGGACGACGACGTGTTAACGACTCTAAAGATTTTAATAATCGGAGAGAGTGGTGTCGGTAAATCAAGGTGAGGTCTGAATGTGCTTTTGTTGTTTACTCTCGTCCGTCCAGTAGGATGAGTTGTTAAATAGCGTTAGCCTCGTCTGAACGAGCAACAAGCGTCGCTAAACTAATGCTGACTGTCCGTCGACTCTGCCAATTCAATTCAGCCGTTAAACTTTACCAGTAAATGTTGTTTTTGACTCTAGAGCAGAAGGAAAAGTGACACTGTGTCCCCCTCCTGGTATTTTGAGATGTTGGTTTCTTTCTAAGCTAAATTGCTAGCACGTTTTAAAACACGCTGGTAATGAATACCTCGTATACTGTTACTGTTGTTGTTGCATCCCTTTAAATATTTAATAACAAGCAGAGTACCAGTGTTAGCTGGCAGCTGTTCATGTAGCAGTCATGCTAAATGCTCGTTTTGTGGCAGTTGCCATTAGAAATATACATCAAAGGCCGTAGACTGAGCTTAAATAGAGGGGTCAAACACTTGGTGTGTGAACATATGGCACTTTAAACATGTCTAGTTATGGTGACAAAGTGACTTGGCTAAATTGGTGTCCAAAGTAAACATACATGTCCAAAGGGAAAGTAAATGTCCTCTTCATCATTGTCATGTTTTCAAGAAAAGAAAATTAAGTTTGATAAGAAACCAATAATATGAGACGCACATATACTTAATTGCAATATTTTTTGTCATATTAATGCTTATTTGCTTCTAATTATCCGTTCTGTCCACAGTTTGCTCCTGCGCTTCACCGATGACACCTTCGACCCAGAATTAGCAGCAACCATTGGTGAGTCACACATGAGTGCTTGTGAACATTACAGATAACCACACATTGTTAACATGCCTGTAATCAGTTAATACTCAAAACGAATGAGCTTAAAAATGAAATCTTACTAAGTCTTGTTAGAATATTTGAAAATAGAGCGTACTTTAAAGTTAAACGGATCGTGGTTGAGCCGTATGGTCCAGGCCCCACAGTTTGGCACACATGTGATTCGTGGATTACTTAAAGTAAAGTTTAAAGGCCCACTGAAGTGCATTTAACTCACAGCATTATTCAATGTTGAAGTCATTTCCACTGAAACAGGAAGATAGGGCGGGACATGTGGTACAGCTCCTCCCCTTTTTAAAATAAAGCCAATAGAGTTCAGTTAATATCACAGTTAAAGCCTCAGTTCCCTTCTAATCTTTAACCATTTCTCCATATCGTTTTGAATTATAGTATCCTGTGTCTCTGGACCAGAGCAAACTTCATTTGCCTTCATTTCTGAATCTTTTCATATCCCCAATATTTACACTAATTGTTTACCATGTAATAAGTGCAATAAGTTCACCTTGTAGAAAAATAGTAAATGTGTGAACAAGTGACCGATTTTAGCCGCAGCTTCAGCGTCTATTTATAATATATAGGGCGGGGCTTCAGATTCTGGAGAGCATTTGATTGGACAAAAAATCTGATAAGAAGCTCATGAGACAGAGTGATGATGACAGAGACTAAGTTTTGAACGCTTTTATCTCCTAAATGTGAATTTTGTCACTGTTTTGAAGCACACTAGCTTATACAGTAGATAACAGTTAGGCTAACATTTTCATAATAAAAGCCAAAAAACGTCGATTTTTATTTCATGGGGACTTTAACCATCATAGCGAAAGTTTATTATTTCTGTTTTATCTTGAAAATTTACACACATTTGCGCAAAATTTGATCAAAATTGCCGTTTAGTCAAGTATTCTCATGAACACCGTGGGTTAAGTTTTAAGTGAACGTAAAATGGTTCGGATGTGCATCATTATATTGGATCCATGTATTCACTCTTAAAGTGACAGCAGCCTATTTATCCCTACTGCAGACTCTTATTAATGTTAAGCAAACAGAAAAATCTTTGTTAATTTTGCATTTATACAGTGAACACTATAGACCATTTCACAAGATGTAAACAACATTGGTCCAGAAGCACTTCCTGTTTCAGTTTGTAACTGTGTTCTTTATTTCACAAGTAAAGAAAACATCTTAAAGATGTTTGTTTAACTTTTTGATTCAGTTTTAAATGTTCTGTTGGTTGTCTGTCTGACACAAAATCCATCTGTGATCTGTTGAACCACTATTTAAAACCACATTTGTCATTTTTCATTGATTTAGGTGTGGACTTTAAAGTGAAAACTATCTCAATAGATGGCAACAGAGCAAAGCTGGCCATATGGGTAAGTGCTGGAAGACTGTCTCAGAGGAATTATAGAAATGTTTTTCATCTGGTCAACACTCAATCAAGAGATGTAGTGTCTTGAATGTGTGTAATATTATATTACTGTTTGTCATGTCCACTGCTGTTACACTGTTTTTACAATGCTGTCTTTTTCCACTAGATGTCACTGTCACACTTTGTAGAATTGAGGTTTGTAGATCTGTTCAGAAATCCTCATGAGCTTCTGTTTTAGGACACTGCGGGTCAGGAGAGGTTCAGAACTCTAACGCCAAGCTACTACAGAGGAGCCCAGGGGGTCATTTTGGGTTAGTGTTTGTGCATAATTGATATTATTATTTATTATATGACTTTTGATTGGTCAGTCAAGATTTCTGCAGGCCATCTTGTCTATTTATTTGGGTAGTTGCCATGTAATAGGCCTATGTAGAATAATGTACAGTACAGTTAGGTGGTTGTTATCCCAACACCTTGTTATCCTTTAGATATTAACTGTGAAATTTACACTGTTATGGTTTTCTCTTCTTTTAGTGTATGATGTTACTAGGCGGGACACATTCACAAGGCTTGAGAACTGGCTCAACGAGCTGGAGACATATTGTACACGCAATGACCTGGTTAAAATGCTAGTGGGGAACAAAATTGACAAGGTTTGTTTATTTAATATCCTGAATGTTAACCTGCCTGATACAATTTTTTGGTGTAAGGCTTGTTAAGTGTCTTGAAGGAAGAAAACAATCACCCTCATGAATGACTTTCTTTTGTTGAAAATTGTCTTATTGACTTTCACTGTGTAGACGCACATTTCAAACAGTCTTGATGAGTGCATTCGTGATTATTAGACTGCCGTGTAATAGAGTAAAAATAAATAAGTAAATAAATAAATGAAACAGAGCATTTCCAAGTGAGGTGTTATTACATATTTGGATTTGTTTCTAAATTTTTAGCAAAAAGGCCTGACGTTCAGTCAACTCCGTGTCAGAAAACTGTAATCTTGAGGTAACGATGGAAGGGTTTCCGATTAAGAGTTGACTGTTCAAAATCAAGAATCAAGTCAAGTGGCTTTGAACTCTGACTAACATATTATTAATAGTTATTTTATGTAAACATACAGCCCTTGATACTAATTTGTCAGCGATTCTAATTGTGATAAAATATGTAATTCATTCAATATTTAAATTCTGGGTGATTGACACAGTATGACTGTTTAGACTCTGTATTTTTGTTAAAGTAAGTAAAAAGTCATGGAATGTGAACCTACAGACTAGTGTTGAAGTTACGTGTGCTGACATTGGGAGTTTTCTTTCTTCAGTCTTCAGTTGCTTTATCTTTGGGTGGATTCTTTCTAATTCTAATCAGAAAGCCCTCTCTGTTTCAGGACAACCGTGAAGTAGACCGGAATGAAGGCTTGAAGTTCGCACGGAAACACTCTATGCTCTTTATCGGTATGTTTCCTCTTTATTACCTTTCCTTGAATGTTTTGGACGAGTCTCTTTGGATCTTAAGCTAATTTGCTTGTTTTGGCAGCACAGTCCCCTTGCTAGCCATCAGAGGATGTGGATGAGCATTATGCTCTGTCTTTGTCCAACCAATAGTCTTGCCAGGAGTTTATTTATATTTTCCAGGCCCTTTAAAACAAAGTTACAGATACCAAAAAGGCTGTCAGTTTTAAAAAGTGATTTTGTGTTGAACTGGTGCTTTGAAATAGCCATTGTCTCTTTGTTCCTGGAGAGATCATGGAACAAAATAAGTATTTTCTATTATTCTAAATTAGAGTATTAAAATAGTAACTAAAATAGAGTGTTTTTTTCTTAGTTAGTTGCTAGTGTATATCCCTCAATTCTGACTTTATTACTCGGAATCGTGAGTTTTTATCACACAATTCTGACTTTATAACACATAATTGAGTTTTTATCTCACAATTCTGATGTACACTCGCAAGTGAGAGGAAAGGAAATCAGTTGTAAGATGAAAAAGTTGCTGTTACCTTTTTTATGTTTTATCCAGTGGCTGAAACAAGCATCTATACATTTTACTCTATATACAACATACTTAAAGTAACACCAGGTAGTTTTTACTCTCGGGGGTCCCCCTACAGTTGCGAAACAGTATTGTCCTCTACTACTGTCGTAAACTCTGTCATCCTACATGCACGCGCATTTGTTGACAACCATGATAGCCCTGAACACTGCAGGAGGACGTCACATGCAGGTCTTCTGCTTGTGTCGCGTGTGAAATGACTTCATCCCAGGTACATTGGCATATATTTCAGCATGTCATATGAATATAATTTCATGGGTTTTATTTTTTTTTCTAACGACAAATGATCACGTTTACAAGCCAGCGTCTGTATAGTAGCCTAGTCTATTGGTTACCGTTTTACTGAATCTATATGATACTTCAATGCAATGTTTGAGTGGTAGATAATAACCATATATTATAATATCAAGCTACCATAAATGAATCTGCCAATTTTACAAATCGATTTGCATTACAGCTTGAGGCAAGAAAAATAAACGAATATCACAGACATGTTAGGTATCCTAAAATATGATTTTGTACATCTTATATATTTACTCGCAAGAATGTAGCCCCTACCAAACTTGTACACGCTGTTTAGAAGTTAAAACACCAGTTAACTTTATTTTGAAGATAAATGGAGGAAAAGATAGCTTCCGTAACATAGTAAGGCAGACAAAAAAAACAAAGAGATAGTATGCAAGCAATATGACGTACTTGCTAATCAAAAAGCATGACAGCCAAGTACGTATCGGTCGGCCCTCCAGCTCATGCCAGAAAACGCTGAAAACACCCAAAGTTGATCCTCTGTCTTCCTTTAACGTGATCACTTTCTCTTTTTGTCTTCTTGCTTTCATCCGATAAAACCTTTGCTTTCTTGTTTTTCTGTCCTGCTTCAGCCATGACTTTAACATTTGGCTCGCACGTCCGATTTTAGGATTTTAAGTAAGTTCTTATTCAAAATAAGTGCCTACTCAAGAGTATGCGTATGCGATATCGGACACAGCCAGGTTTTGATTTTGAATGCCAAAACCTCACACATTCTTCACAGAAACTTATTGCAAATTCTCTTTTCTGAGATAAATGGATGCCACTTGCAGGACTTCCAGAGGACAACAATACTATTTCACATGCGTTTTTTTAGGGCTGTGCAAAAATGAATTGCGATTAATCGCATCCAAAATAAAAGTCTGTGTTTACATAATATATTTGTGTGTGCTGTATATAATTATTTTGTGTATATAAATACCTATGCATGCATGTATATATTTAAGAATTATTTGCGCTTAAATTCTGTATATATATATATATATATATAAATACATAATCTAAATTATATATGAATAACACATTTTCTTAAATATATACATGCATGTGTGTGTATTTATATATACCAAATAATTATATACAGCACACACAAATATATTATGTAAACACAGACTTTTATTTTGGATGCTATTAATCGCAATTAATTTTTGCACAGCCCTAGTTTTTTTTTTAAATTATTTTTATTGTAGGCCGTACAGAGTATATACAGCATAGTATACTAGTATTTCACTCTGACTAGCGTATGTCAGATTTTTGAGTATAATGGATTTTTCTCTTTCTGATGTCATCTTTTCACCTTTTACACTCTTAAACTGTGACTGCATCACATGATTCTTACTCTGAGTCACCTCACCACCTCTCTCAATCTCTCCCGTCCATCGCAACATCATCAGAGGCTAGCGCAAAGACACGGGACGGAGTCCAGTGCGCGTTTGAAGAGCTGGTGGAGAAGATCCTGCAGACGCCAGGACTCTGGGAGAGCAGCCTCCAGAACCACGGGGTCGTGCTGTCCGATCACGAGCAGCAGCGTCAGGGTGCCTGCGGGGGATACTGCTCTCTGGTTTAACACACACACACCACCACAAACTGAGATTCTTCAGAAGGAGAGCTTCCTCTGAGGGGGAACGGTCTGCTCCCTTAGGGCTGGTCAAAGGGACCTTTGCAGTTTGCACACTCTCCGTCTCACAGTTTGTCGTTGAGTCCCAGTATTCCGTCATGTTATTGCATCTCTATGTAAACCGTTTATGTAAAAGAAGTCCTGTGGAAGGTTACAACCTGAGCATGTTGAAGTAGGCCAGATTTTGAGGACAGTCATGCTTCCCCCTCAATGGGAGCACCATCTTTGACCTGATGTGTGTTGGCCAATGGGGCCGAGAACGGCAGGATCTGACTCAACATGAGTCATCAAATGTACTTTGTACCTGTACTACATTTCATCTGCTTATTGCTCATCATATTCTCTGCTGTCTCATTTTAATCCCTTGCTTTTTATTTAAATTCACATTCTTTATCCCATATTAGTATTTTTTGTAGTAATGTTACTTAACATAATTCTACCTTTTTGAAGAGTTCTTTTGTAAATAATGCGTCTTTAGCAGCTGTTCTGAAGCCTAATTCACACGATTGTCAATGAAATGCTGTTTATCTGCAGGTCTCGTGAGTTGAGATACATTAAGCATGTTTAAATAATGTAATATATGATGACTTTTGTCTGAATAACATATGGGATGATCCATTTTACTTCACCGTGTTTTACTCTGACTCATTTCTTTCTTTTGTAGATTAATGTGAACGGATACCAAAAAGAACACTGTTCGTGTTTGTTTTTTAATCACAAATCCTTCCTGTTACTCGTTCTTGATTTGATTCACATATGGACTCGATTCGTGGGAGGAATTGCTTATGCCTTAATATTTATTCGATCTGCATGTTTAACGTGAACTACACTACTGGCTTTCACTATGATTCTGTAGAGAGAGTGTTATTGTAGCCAGGGAATGGTCAAATTGGTCAATTAATTTAATTATAAACATACCTTGGTCAAAAGGCTTAATATGTTTGACTTTTATTTCACCTCTAATAGAGGTGTTTGTTCTGCTGCAGAGATTTATTCATTCACGGGAAGAATTGCTTATGACTTCCTGTAGCCACAAAACCAAACACTAACCAGCACCCTAATTAGGATCTCTTATAATTCATGGGTATTACATTTTCCCTAGTCTGTATATCACTAGTGGAAATTAGGAGAAATCATCTCTTACATTGTTTTTGCATCAAAATATTTATATTTAATGTTTTTCCGCAGTAGAGTGTCTTTTGAAGTCTCTATGAATGTCTGTTCAAAAAGCTATCCTCATTATTACGTAGTTTCTAGTAAATGAACTCCAGATGAGCATGTAGGTCTGTGGCACTCACATAGAGGCAGGAAATTGATACCTACAGCTCCATATTAGTTTAACAGGCCATATATGAAATGTTTCTATACTGTGGACTACATACACAAACTCTGAAATATACAATGAACATGCTAATCAAAACAAATGTCAGACGTTTTCACACGGATGTGTGGCAGTTCGTGTCACTCATCAGTATCATGGTCATCTCTCCTTTCATTCAACTGATTACATTCTGCTTGTCAGAAATGAAAATGATCTGTCTTTATGCACCCCTAGTCAAGGCCGGGGATTTTTGTTTGTAAAAGGGTACTTGTCTTTAGATTGTCTTACGTTAGCTGTTTGATAACTTGGTCAAGCAAAAGGCTAATCATAGGAATAACCGTTATGTGTCCAACGTTTTAGAGCGATACCCTCGTGCGGCGTCTACAGTAAAGTTGACCAAGTGTATCTCTGAGCTGGTGTGAGTGAGTGGAGGCGGGGCTAATTACGATATTCATGAGTTGTTTAATTTTATTGTGACATCTAGTGGTGAGGTTGCGAATTGCAACCAACCAAAGTTACGGTTGGCGACAGAATAAAGTCGTCGTGAGACAGCAGAGAGCAGCCAGTTCAGCAATGAGGTTTCTTTACAAAGATAAATTAAGAAATTATGCTTAATTATTCAGTAAAACGATATGTTATTGCGAATATTATTGTTACTTATTCATCATTGTGTCAGTGTTTTATTCGCTGACTTTAGCTAGCTTTCTTGCACGAAGAACAACATAGTGACGAAACATGTTTGTCCATTTAGGGCCACTGTAGAAACATTTTTGCGCATTTCAATGTAAGCGGACCCGCGGTGTGAGAGATAGAAAAGGCTCATTTTAAGGTAATAAACACATAACGGTTCATAAGTAAGGTCTATTCACCACTGAAAACATGGTTATGTATCAGATCCTCCTAAATATTACACAATGCATCTTTAAATTAAGCAATTGGTGTTTACATTGAAGCTATTTTAAGGCATGAATATTTTTTCCCCAAAGGAAAATAAAAGTTTAAATATGTAATTTTGGTGATCATGAGTTTTAAGGTATAAAAGTATTGACTACAGGGGGACTTAAAAAAATCACATTTCAGAAAATTCCTTTTTAATTTTAAATATCGGCAAATCTCCATTTTACAAAGAATTAGCCTTAAATTATTTTGTAGATACAGTAAGTCATTTCTAATTGTGATTTTGATGGCATGTGTGTGGTAGGATCTGTCCAAAGTTCACTCAACCCACTGCAAGAAACAATCAGATTCTATAAGCATTGAATTCAATTTTTACTTAAACATCTCTATGGCCCTCATGTTGCCTGAAACTGAAACTACATCAAAATCAACAGATTTCCACCGATGTTACACTGACTCCTGCTCCCTCTCCATTTCAGTTAGAGGTGTTTTACTATTTGTATTGGGCTCTTTGTGTTGATTCAGCAGGTGCATTTGACCACTGAATGATTAGATGAGAAGAATGGGGACTATTATGTTTTAGTTTTCCTTGAAGCATGGGTGGGGAGAAATAAGACTGGAGAGCAAAACACAGAGCATGCGGTCAGGTCTGTAAGGAGATATAACAGGGCGGACTGTGTATTCAATTCCACATTCTTACTGCTGGACGAACCGTTTTAATGCACACAGTAAGACTCAAACATAACGGACTGTTCAAACAGCCGTCTAGAAGAGCTATCAGGTACATAACTGAAATGCAAATGCTTATCCAACATGGCCAAAGCGCTTTGAAGATATTAATGGTAACTGTTTCGGCATGGGTAGTGCTGTTTCTTTATCAGATTGGAGTGAAATGTGGCTCTGACCCTGTATATTTCACACTGGATTAGGTGAAAATTATGGCAGACCATTTCTGACACAGTAAAAAGAAAATTAAATAAAATATGAAGGGTTAAAAAGGTTATTGCTTTTTATTAATTAATGACAACATCTTAGTGTTGTATTGTTATCTATAATCATTTTACAAATTTGATACAAATAATATTAAAATAACATTGCTTCATCTTGAACGTGAGTGTGATATTATTATTATTAATATTTTACAACAGAAGTTTCCTAGTGTAATTTTTTCTCACCTAATTATCAAGTATTTGTTAACATTATTAAAGGGTTAGTTCACCCAAAAATGAAAATTCTGTCAGTATTTACTCACCCTCATGTTGTTTCAACCCCGTAAGACCTTCGTTCATCTTCGGATATTTAAGATATTAAGATCGCTCCTGCATACACTCCATAGGCTTCTTGAGGGACTGGCTCTTGCTGTCCCCGAAAAGTCATTAAAGACATCGTTAAAATAGTCCAAGTGACTACAGGGGCTCAATCTTAAGTTTATCAAACGACGAGAACACTTGTGCGCAAAAACAAACAAAAATAACGACTTTATTTCAACTATTCACTTCCTTCTCCATGAGCCTGTAAGTCAGTTAACGTAGTGTGATTGCGTAGAGCTACGTCACACGTAGGCTCACTATTGGCCGACGCTGGTCATGTGTGTGATGCGTGTGACGTACAATAACAGAAGCTTACGCTATTAAACTAGTAACCTGACTCGCGCAGAGGGAGAAATAAACGAATAGTTGAAATAAAGTCGTTATTTTTGTTGTTTTTTTGCGCACAAAAGTGTTCTCGTCGTTTGATAAACTTAAGATTGAGCCCCTGTAGTCACTTGGACTATTTTAACGATGTCCTTTAATGACTTTTCGAGGACAGCAAGAGCCAGTCCCTCAAGAAGCCTATGGACTGTATGCAGGAGCGATCTTAATATCTTAAATATCTTAATTTGTGTTCCGAAGATGAACGAAGGTCTTACGGGGCTGGAACAACATGAGGGTGAGTAAATACTGACAGAATTTTCATTTTTGGGTGAACTAACCCTTTAAGTAGTCATGTTCACAGCATTTTGATCGAATCAGTCGAGTGTATGATTCAATGACTTATTCATAAAAACTTTTCGTCTTTTGTCACCAAAAAACGTTTAAGTATTTCTTGTAATTGCGACTTTATATCTTGCAATTGCTTGCTTATTTCTCAAAATGTATATTTATATGATGTGACAATGTGACTTACTTTCTTATTAAAATTGTATCTCACGATTACTTTTTCTATACTCTGACAAAATGGGCTTCCATAGAAATCAAACCGAGATGAGAGGAGCACATTTTATCAAAGCGCAACTGTATTTTATGGAGAAACTTTTATTTGCTCTCACCTGACTCTGTTTTGCATGATAAACGTCACAGGCAATGACACATGAATGCATTTAAAAGCTATCCATTAAAAAAAGGAAATAATCTTCCTTCACATGTCATACCTGCCAAAACAAAACACAAGAATCCACATTTATATGCCATTGCCATAGGATGACAATAATCCTGTGTCAATTACAATCAAAAATGAACATAACTTAGGAAAATGAATACATATATGATGAATATATTACATTTTAGCCACTGCATTTCAGAAATGATGACAGTATAAATCAGAAAGAGTCAGATTTATGTGCTTCTGTGTTTAGTGGTAGTGACCGTCCACACATCAAACTCTCCTCTCTGCGTCATTTTTCAACAGACAGTGGTAAAAAAAAAATTAGGCACACTGGTCAACATGTATTTTTCCTCTCAGAAAAGGCTGCTGTGGATCATTTTCAACTAAATTATTGCATGTAGTACATAGTCAAGTGTTCAGGTAGTCTTCTAGCAATTTTGACCAAGTACAGACCGCTGTCCAGTCCGTTAGCCGCTAATGTTGGGGTTGCACGGGCACTTTGACAGTCTTAATCTCCGCTATATGGGAAGACTTCTGGATGATACAGCTGGTGGTGCCTGGCGCTGTGCTCTCCTTCCCTTGGGCCAGGTTGGTCAGGGCCATGGCGGCGTGGAGCTCTTTCCAGTAAGTCTCATTGTTTCCTCCTCCGCCACCTTTACGAGCGCTGCTGTTGCCAAATAGAGAGGACATGGTTAATGAGGAGTTTTAGCAGTACCTAAAAACCTTATGATTCATTAGTCGACAGCATTCTTACCTGTCGCTCTGGCGCTTGCCACAGTCCAGCGTCACTGAAAATACAGTTAGGTGAAATGAGTTATAAATTGGACTTTGCTAAAAGTTGGCACATCATTTCTGCAGCTAATGAAACGTCCCTGAGCTCCTCTCTACCCATATCGACGGAATGGATGTGTAAACGTGTTCTTACGTGTGCTTGTACATGGGTGAATAAGAGGGTGTTTGCCGATCTCAGGGAGGTTTAAGTGGAGCTCCGCAGTCTGTTCCTACAGCCACATTCATGCGCTCAGGCCAACATAAATGCAATTATGCTTCCCCTGCGCTCTCGAGATGGAAAAAGGATATCTGCTCTGTGTCAGAAACAGACACGTTGTTCCACCACTCTGCAACTGATTTGCATTTGAAAATTATTACACCCTTTCCTTTAGCTAATGACTATTTAAATGATTTCGAAGTTGTGCCTCTGTTTTGCTTTTTTGAATATTAACTTTCATGCAGAGTGTAATATAGCTGTTTGTGTGTGTGTAAAAGGTCTGCAAAGTTTTAAATAGCACAGTGCACGGCAAATAAAAATATTGTCTCCTAAAAGAAAAAATCGATTCTGAACTGAAAATGAGTT